ACCCCTTCCCATTAGCCCCGCCCTTTTCCCAGTGACCCCCCCCTTAGTGCCCCACCCTCTCCCAATTACTCTGTCCATCACTCCTGGCCCCACCCTTATCCCAGTAGCCCCTCCCTTTACAAATGACCCCACCCATCATAGCCCCACCCCTTCGCAGTGACTCCACCCTTTCTAGAAGCCTCCATCTGTCACTCATTGCCCCTCCCTTTTCCAATAGCCACGCCCTCTCCCAGTGCCCCACCCTTTCCCAGTGGCCCCGCCCCTTTCCAATTGTTCCAGCCTTTCCAGAAGATTCCTCCCACTGGCCCCACCCTCTTCCCAATAGCCCCACCCTTTCCTAGGACCCTGCCCTTCCCAGTGACCCCACTCCCGTGTCCCAGTGACCCCACTCCCCTGTCCCTGTCCCTGTCCCTGTCCCGGTGCTGAGCTGCGGTGGCCGCAGGCCCGGTACTGGGGCGCGGGGGCCAACGAGGTGCAGGGGGCCGTGCTGAGCCGCAGCGGGACGGCCGTGGAGCGCCTGGCGGGCAAGTGGCACGAGGGGCTGCACCGCGGGCCCGCCCCGGGCCACTGCGTCTGGAGAGCCAGTAAGGAGCGGGCACGCCGCCCCGGGGTGGGGGTCGCAGCACCCCGGGGGGGCTCTCACTGTCCCCACGGCCCCTCGCAGACCCCATGCCCCGCGAGCACGAGAGGAGCTACGGCTTCACGCAGTTCGCGCTGGAGCTGAACGAGCTGACGCCGGAGCTGCGCCGCGTGCTGCCCTCCACGGACACGCGCCTGCGGCCGGACCAGCGGTCAGCAGCGCCCGGGGGCCGGCTGGGGCGGGCTGGGCCGGCCGGGCGCTCACGGCCCCGTCCGTGTGCCCCCAGGTACCTGGAGGAGGGCAACGTGCCCGCGGCCGAGGCGCAGAAGCGGCAGATCGAGCAGCTGCAGCGCGACCGGCGCCGCGTCATGGAGGAGAACAACATCACCCACCAGGCCCGCTTCTTCAGGTCTGGGGGGCTCCGGGGCTGGGGGATTCGTGGGTCGGGGGGTGGGGAGACCTTCTGGGGGTGCTGAGGGCAGCTCTCGGCTCGGGGGGATGTGGGGCTCTCAGGGGAACGCGGGGCTCCTATGGGATGGGGAGACCCTTCCCGGGAGTCTTGAGAGCACCCCATGGCTCAGAGGGGTCTGGGGTTCTCAGGGAATGGGGAAAAGCCCCCATGAGAGTCCTGGGGGCACCCCGAGGCTCAGGAGGATGTGGGGCTCTCAGGGAAGGGGGCAAGCCCCCCCCACAGGAGGCCACCCCGTGGTTCTGGGCGATGTGGGGGTTTAAAGGAGTGGCAAGAGTCTGGAGATCCCATGGTTCAGAGGAGCCTGGGGCTCTCGGGGGGCCGGGGGGCTCTCAGGGAAGGGGAAAGCCCCCCTGGAGGTCCCAGCTGTGCCCCCCCCGTGGCCAGGCGTGTGACAGATGCCAGTGGCAGGGAGTCCTGGGTCACCAACCACACCTACTGGAAGCTGCGCCTGGACCCCGGCTTCTCCCACCTGGACAGCGCAGTGCTCTGGTAGCCCCCCCAACCCGGGGGGTGCCGAGCCCCCCCAGCTCCTCACAGCAGTGGGGCTGGTCCCCCCAGCACTGGGGGTGCAGAACCCCCCCCCTTTCCGAGCCATTTTGCCGCTGTTTCAGTAAAACTGTGATATAAAAACGGGAGGGGGGCGCTGGCAATGCCTCCCCCCCGCCCTGGGGCAGAGCCTTGGGGCACCTGAGGCACTCTGGGGCAGGGGCTGGCAGTGCCCCCCTGCCCTGGGGGCACAGGATGATAAGGGGGGGTTTAGGGGGTCGCAGGGTGCCCGCAGGCGGGAAGACCCCACTGCCCCCCTCCCCCCAAATTGTGCACAGGGGCTGCTCTAATAAAGGCTGTGAAGAGTTGGGGTGTGCAGGGAGATTCCTTCTCCCCCCCACCACCACCACCCCTGGGGGGCTCGGGACCCCCTCCCAAATCAGGCTGGCGATGCGCAGGTCCCTCCCCGTGCCTCAGTTTCCCTCCCCACACGCACAGGATTGCCCAGAGCCGTGTCCCCCAGTGCCCCCTTTATTGCCACGTGCCGCTGCCCCCCGCCCCACACCGGGCGCGGGGGGGGGACTCAATAAATACTTCAGCATTAACCCCCCTCCCTCAAAAACCACCAACACAAAAAAAAACCCCTCACCCCGTCCCCCCCGCCCGCCCCCGCGGCCCCACCGGGGTGGCACCGGGGGCTGATTGTCGCGCCGAGCCCCCCCGCTCCAGCCGGCCCGGGGTTTGGGGGTGGGGGGCACGCAGGGCGGGGGTGCCGGCGGGGCCGTGCCCCCCGCTCGCCCCCGGGCCGGCTCAGTTGCCGTAGTAGCCGTAGTAGCCGCCGTCGGCGAGCGGCTCCCGCTCGCAGGCGCCGCCGTTGCGCGGCGGGGAGGCGCTGCCGGCGCTCTCGGGGAACGGGGACACCCTGCGCCGCTTGCACTCGAACGGCCCCGGCTCCGCGCCCGCGGGGGGCTCGCCGGCCCAGCCCTCCGCGTCGCGGCCCTTCTCCTCGCGGGGCTCCCGGTACCAGCCCAGAGCCGCGGCGCCCTTGGGGCCGAACTGCGCGGGGCTCCAGCCCCCCGCGACCCCCAGGCCCCCCGGGCCCTCGGGGTAGTAGGGCAGGGGCGGGTGCGGGGCGGGGGGCAGCGCCAGGGGCTTCACCCCGTAGGGCACCAGCTTGCCCCCCCCGTAGCCCCCCTCGTAGCCGCCGTAGTCCAGCGCGCCGGGGCCGGGGGGCTGCTGCGCGGGGAAGAACCAGGGCGGGGGGTCCTTGGGGGGCAGCGGCAGCGCAGCCCCCCGCTCCCCGCCGAAGAAGCGGCCCGGGGGCAGCGGGAGCTGCTCGGGCACGAAGGGCTGGAAGCGCGGGGCCAGCAGCTGCGGGCAGCCCGGAGCCTCCGGCGGGGACGGCGTCAGGCGGTCGCTCTCCGAGGCCGGGTACATCCTGGGGGGCACACGGGGGGTTTGGGGGTCTGGGGGGGCTGCTCCTGGCTGGTGAGGCCGGGAGGGGGGCGGGGGGACAGGAGCAGGGGTGGCACTCACGAGTCAAAGTTGTCCCGGAATCCTTTGGCGAAGGGGTTGTGGTCGATCTTCAGCTGGGTGATCTGGGGGGGCACACGGGGGTTTGGGGTCCCTCCTGCGGGGTGTCCCCCCCCGTCCCTTTGCCCCCCACCCCACCAGAATGCCACCTTTGCCTGGGCAGGGGGGGCTGGGGGTGCTGAAGGGGTTCGGGGGGGAGTACTGGGATGTGTGGGACGGTCCCGGGGGGGCAGTGGGGAATCCTGGGGGAGGTCTGGAAATTTGAGGGGGTCTGGGGGCACTGGGAGGCCCCCGGGATGCTGAGGGGGTGCGGGGGGGATCCCGGGATGCCGAGGGGATGTCCTGGGGTGGCAGGGATGCTGCAGACCGGGGTCCCGGCAGACACGGATGGCCTGGGGGGAGGCCAGGGGTGTTCCTGAAGCCGAGGACACCCTGGATGTCGCAGGGGGGATTAACGGGGCTGCTCGGGGGCGGTTTTGGGATGCTGTGGTGACACTGGGATCTCCTGTCTGGTTTCTGGGAGGGCGCTGGGGCGTCGCTGGAGTATTTGTGCTTTTGGGGTTTTTTTGGGGGGGGTGCTGCACGCTGGGGACTGGCAGGGGGTCTCGCACTCACGTCGGCGTTCTGGTAGGCGGTGACGGCGATGAACTGCGTCTCGGGGAAGGCGAAGGTGTGGGTGTGCGGGGAGGGGTGCCCGTCCTCCCCCTCGCCCTCCTTCACCTCGGTGACGTGCAGCCGCGGCTGGTACTTGTGCAGCGACTGCAGCACGATCATCTGCGGGGCAAAAGGGGACAGCGAGCGGTCAGGGGGGGTCACAGCGAGCTGCCACCTCGGCGGGACCCTCCCCTCACCTGCCCGACGTTGTTGGAGGCTCCCTTGTTGTTGGTGAGCTTCAGCTTCCCGAAGGAAACCTCCTGGCGCATCCAGTGCGCGCCCGTGTTGGGCGAGTCGGGGTGCAGGTACAGGCGGTTCCCTGGGAGGGGACAGCGGCCACAGCGTCACCCCCGCCCCGAGCGGCACGGGGGGGACGGGGATGAAGGGCCCGTACCTGGCATGCTGCCCTCGGCCTTCCCGCACTGCACCCACTTTCCGCCCTGGTAGCGCCAGTGGTGGTGGTCCACCAGCACCACGTCCACGCAGACGCTGTAGTGCGCCGCGGGGTTCAGCCCCGACAGGCTGAAGCTGAGGAAGGGGAACATTCGCCTGGGGAGGGGACAGAGGCACAGGCACGGTCACCGCCCCCCGCTCGGCCCGCACGGCGCGGTTTGGGGTGGGGGCGATGGGGAAACTGAGGCAGCGCGGTGCCCGCCCCCCTCGCGGTGCCCGGAGGAGCTGAGTGACCCCGGCAGCTGGGGGATGCTGTCGGGGCCGATCCCCCCCCCCGGTATCTTCCTCCCCCTCCCCAGGCACCTTCCGGATCGGAAACCAACACCGCTGCTATTTCGGGCCGGGCGCCAGCCCGCGCCAAGGGCAGGAAGGGGACACGGTGGCACCGGGGGGGACCCGGCAGCTGCCACCCCCGGGCTGCGCCCCGCTGCCCCCCGCGTGTCCCCTCGAACGGCAGCGCTGGGATCGCTGCTCCTGCTCGGGGACATCCCTGCTCGGGGACATCCCTGCTCGGGGACATCCCTGTCCCTGCTCGGGTACACTTCTGCTCCTGCTCGGGGACATCTCTGCTCGCTGCTTGGGGACACCTGTGCTCCCGGGCTGCCACTCGTGTCCAGCACTGGCTGCTCGACCCAGTATCCCCAGCACCCCCAGTACCCCCAGTACCCCCAGTACCCCCAGTATATCCCCAGTACCCCCAGCACCCCCAGTGCCCCCAGCATCCCCAGTTTCCAGCCCAGGCTGGGGCCGAGCCTCCCCGCGTGCCTGCGGGCACCCCTTCTCCCCCCGCGTTTCCCGCCTTGGAATTTTGGAATTTTGGCAATTCCTGGAGCTCCGCCGGCCGGAGCGGGACGCCAGGGTGCCACCCCAGTAATGCCACCCCCGGTGGGCAGAAAGCCACCAGCGGCCACCCCTGAAAGCCGCACGGGGTGTCCCAGGCTCGGGGAACGCGCACCCCGAATTCCTGAGGGGAAAAGGGGGGGACAGGGGGCAGGAAGCGGGGCTGGGGCAGCGCCGGGAAGGGCAGCGGAAAGAAAAGTCAGCGGGTGGAGGCTGACTCAAAATTGCCCTTGCGAGAGAGTGAGGAATAGAAAAAGAAAGAGAAGAAAAAGGAAAAATAGAAAGAGAAAGAAAAAAAATTAGAAGAAAAAAAGAAAAAAAAAGAAGAAAAAAGAAAATTAAGATTAAGAAAAAAGAAAATTAAAATCAAAAAAAAGAAGGGGGTGGGAGGAAGAGAAAATAGAAAAAGAAGAAGAAAAAGGAAGAGAAAAATGAAAAATAATGAAAAAAAGTAGAGGAAGAAATGAAGAATCAGGAGGAGAAGAGAAAGAAGGAGAAGATAAAGACTAAAAACAAGAACATGAAAACAGTAAAAATAAGAGTAAAAAGAAGATCAAGAAAACGATAAAGGAAAAATATAAAGATAAAAAGAGGAGTAAAAAGAGAAAGAGGCAGAGAGGGCAGCAGCCGTGGCGAGGAGCTGCATGTGCTCGGGCCCGGGGCTGGCCCGGAGCATCCCGGGGTCCCCCCGAGCCCCCGCAGACCCCGATCTCCCCCTGGTGTCCCCCGAGGAGCCGTCCCCGCGGGCTCGCATCTCTGACAAAAAATCTCAACCGCGTTAAAACCGCCCGGGAGCCGCCGGGGCGCGGAGCCGGGCCCCGCTCCGGCCGGGCCGAGCCCCGGCGCGGCTGCTGCAGCAGCCCCAGCTCTGCAGGGAGCGCAGAGGAGGAAAACAGCTTTTTTGGGCTGGTTTTTGGGGTTTTCTTGCCCTCGGCTCCCACAGCGCTGCCAGGGCGCTCTCACGCTGCCGCTGCCGCGGGGAAACCGCACGGGCCGGGCCGGGCACGGCAGGGTGGGGGCAAGCCCCGAAACCGCGCTCGCCTCGCGTTTATTTTTAACCCCCCCGGCGCTGCAGCCCGGCCCGGGCGGGACTCGGCGCCCCCGGGCCCGGCGCTGCGGTTTGGGGGGTGCCAGCCCCCCCAAAGGCGGGCGGGACCCGCTGGTTTGTCCCGGTGTGAACCGCGCCGAGCTGGGGACAGCGCGGGACAGGGGGACAGGACAGGGGACACAGGACAGGGGACAGGAGGGACAGGGGACACGGGGACATGGGGAGGCGGGACACGGGGACACGGGACAGGGGACAGGGAGGCATGGGGCACAGGGGACAGGGCACAGGGGACAGGGGACAGGGGTCAGGGACAAGGGGACAGGGGACACAGGACAGGGGACAGGACACAGGGGCCAGGCCCCTCTGCATGGGGCACAGGGCTAGGGGTGGGTGACACAGCATGGTGGCACGGCAGTGCATGGCACAGTGACATGGCACAGTGGTGGCACACCAATTCATGGCACGGTGACATGGCACAGTGGTGGCACATCAGTGCATGGCACGGTGACATGGCACAGTGGTGGCACACCAATTCATGGCACGGTGACATGGCACAGTGGTGGCACACCAATTCATGGCACGGTGACATGCCATGGCTGCTGGACACGGCACGGTGGCACAGCTGGACACCGGTGACACGGCAGGGCCGCGTGGCACGGCACATCTGCACAGCACAGCTGCGCTGCCCGCCTGGGTGGCAGGGCACAGCGAAATGTCACCGCGCAGCAGGACACGGTGACAAGTCACAACATGTCTGCGCCAACCCCGCCGAGCTGCCACCGGGCACTGCGTGTCCCCAGAGCCATCCCCAGAGTCCCCAGAGCCATCCCCCAGTGTCCCCAGAGCCACCCCCAGTGTCCCCAGAAGGCCCTGCCAGCTCTGGGGTCCCTCCTCCTGCACGGCCACCCCTCAAATCAAAGTCACCCATCAGACTTTGTGTCCCCAAAGCCACCCCAGCGTCCTCTCCAAAGGCAAAGCCGTCCCTTGTGTCCCCAAAGCCGTCCCTTTTGTCCCCAAATGCAGAGAGAGCCCCTGCACCCCCCAAAGGCAGCGCTGAGCCACCCCCAAGTGCAGGGACAGGCCCTCGTGTCCCCTCGGGATGCAAAGCCAGCCCCGGTGTCACCCCAAGGGCAGTGTCACCCCAAGGGCAGTGCCATCCCCTGTGCCACCCCAAGGGCAGTGTCACCCCAAGGGCAGTGCGAGCTCCTGTGCCACCCCAAGGGGCAGTGCCAGCCCCGGTGTCACCCCAAGGGCAGTGCCAGCCCCGATGGAATTGCCCGTGCCCGGCGCTGCCGGGTACCGGAGAGTCCTTGGGGGTTTCCGCAGGAATCCTGCCCTGCCGAGCCCCCAGAGCCGCGGGGACGGGGACCGGGACGGGGACAAGGACGGGGACAGGGACAGGCCTGGGAAACCGGCCGGGATTGGCCTGGGCCGGGACGGGTGGGGTGGGGTGGCCCGGGACAGGGCGGGATGGCTCAGGGTGGCACGGGACAGCAGGACCAGGGTGAACCCCAGTGCCACCGCGTCCCCCCCAGTGCCACCGCGTCCCCCCCAGCCTCAACCCCTCCCGGGGGTCCACGGGGGGGCTGCACCCCCTCAGTGCGAGGGACGGGCGCCCTGCCCTGCCCCAGAGCTGTTTTGGGGTGCGGGTCCCCGCTCGGGTCCCCGCTCGGGGCTCACGTCCAGCCCTGCCCCAGAGCTGTTGTGGGGTGCAGGTCCCCGCTCGGGGCCGTCCCCCCCGAGCCCCGCGGGGGCTTTTCCTGTCCCCGGGCGCCGCAGCAGCAGCAGCCCGGGCCGGGGGAAGCGGATGTTCTGTGGCTCGGCTTTGACGCTCTCCGCGGGCTGGGCTCGCCCTGAGCCCCCCCTGCCCCGAGCACCCCCCAGCCCGCAGCCCCTCCGTGCTGGGGGATGGAGATGGGAAAAAAAAACAAAATTGGCGCTTTGGGGGTGGGAGGTGAAAGCAGAGGTGCAGCGGGCAGGGGGACGGGGAATGCGGGGCCACCCCAATTTCCAGAGCCTCAGCACCAGCAGGGAGGGCACTTCCCCAGCACCCAGCTGGAAACAGAGGAGAAAACGGGGAAAAAAAAAGCGGAATTTCAGCACAGTCCTGCAGGGCCTGCGGGGTGGCGGGTAACAAACAGCAATTTGGGGTGCCCGCCCCCCCGCCGCCCCCTGGGGACGTGCCACCCCCTGCGTGCCGGGCTCGGGGCCGTGGCAAACCAAGCGGCCCTAACGAGTTTAGACTTGCAGCACATCCAGCAGGTCGGGCTCGGCATCGAAGTGACACCAGGGACCCCCTGGGCGCGGGGACGGGGCTGGCAGGGGGGGCAGGGGGGCTGGGGGGGCCTGTGCCCGCTGCCCGGGCGCAGAGGGGGGTGCAGCCCCCTTTCCCCTCGGCGCGGGGGTCTGGGGGCCCCTCGGGGGATGTGCTGTGTGTGACCCCTGTGTGTGACCCTGCCACGGCCAGAGAGACCCCAAAGGGCAGCCCAGGGTGGGGTTCTCCCCCTCCTCATCCTCACTGCCCCAGTGTGGGGCTGAAGGACGGGTTTAGCTTTTGGGGCTCCCCTTGCTCCAGTCCTGGCGACTCCACAGGGCCTGTGTGGCACCCGGACCCCCCAAACCGGGGTTGGGCAGACCCCAAAAATCCCCCAACCCTCTCTCAGCCCCTGGAGCCCAGCCCAGCACGGGGGGGACAGCGCGTGCCCGGCTCTGGTGGCACCGAGGGCGTTTTTGGCAGCCAGGACGCGCCAAAACGCTGCCCCTTCCCTGGTCACACGCGGGGCCGGCGGGCTCGGCTGAGCACAGGGGGGTTCCCACCCCCGAGAGGGGACAGGGAGGGGACAGTCGCCCACCCTCCCGCGGCCCTGGGGGTGGCAGCGGCTCCTCCCCACTTGTTGCAGCGCCGAGCTCCGGATCCGGCCCGTGGGCTGGGGCCGGATCCGAGCTGCCTGCAGGCCCCTGGCAGCGCCACCGCCTCTGCCACCTTGGGACACCGAGGGTCCGGACCCCCTGTCCCTCCCTGACACGGGTGGGGACACCCCCAGACCCTTTTCTCTTTCCCACAAGCCTCAACTCCCCAAGGGAACTGCACCAGGGGACGGCTGGGGTGCTTTGCCCCCACCTCCCGGGCTTTCCTTGAAACCCACGAGGGGCCGGGGGTCCCCTCCGGCACCCCCAGCTCCACAAACACCCCCCACCCTTCCGGCCCTCTGGGGAGACGCGGCCGGACACCTCAGCCCTTCACCGTGGGGTCTGTCGCCCCCCGTCACCGCTGTGTCCCCACCCCCGGTGCCCACAGCGGACCCCCGGTGCCGGTGGCGCTGCCGCTCTCTGTGGCGGTGCCCCCGTCCCCCCGTGGCTCTCATGTCCCCCTCGGTGTCCCCACCTCGTCCCCTGCGGTGCCTCACGCGTCCTGCGACAGTTCCCTGTCCCCGCAGCCCCGGTCCCGCCGATCCCGTCCCAGTCCAGCCCGCCCCAGTCCCCTCCAGTCCCCCCCAGTGCCCCGGCTCTCCCGGAGCCCCCCGGTGCCCCGGCTCTCCCGGAGCCCCCGGTGCCCCGGCTCACCTGCCCTGTTTGGTGATGATCATCTCGGTCTGGTGCTTGTGGAACTTGGCCCAGAGCGGGTAATTGTTGAGCATCACCTGCAGCTTCCCGGCCGCCCGGTACCCGGGCAGGGCGCAGAGCGGGGGGCACAGCGGGCCCCCCCCGCCGCCGAAACCGCCCTCGGCGCCCCCGTAACCTTCCACCGGCTGGGCGGGAGGCGGCGGCGCCCGGTAGGGCGGGCACGGCCCCAGGAACCGGCCGCCGAAGCCGCCGGGAGCGCCGTAAGGGAGCGGGGGGGCTCCCGGTTCCGGTGCCCCTCCATCACCGAAGAAAGCGGCGGCGGCGGCGGCGGCGTCCCGGGGGCCCGGCGGCTCCTTGGCGAAGCTGGCGGCGGCGCTGAGCATGGGGGCGGCGGCCCGGGGGGCTCCGGTGCCCGGCTCCAGCGCGCCCATGGACGGGCGGGGGGCGCGGCCCCGCTCAGCC